CAGCTGCACATGAAGTTGTACATGGTGCCCTGGCCGTTGGTGGTGAGTCTGGGTCAGGGGTACTGTGTGGCTCCAGGCTAAGCCCTCTTGCCTGTGAAGGACCTTCTGTAAACGTCAAGTGGAGGGGGGTTGGTAGCGATCCTCCTGCCTCTTCACTACCTGAAGAGCTGGGGTGGAAAGGCATGTTTATGATCTAAGTAGATGCTCAACTTGGCCCTGGGAAGGGACCAGCCGGAAGGGGCTTTTGAGCAGGTCCGCAAGATGCTCTTGCAGATACCGTACCTTCCTGAGGGTGGTCAGAGTGCCTCCAGGAGGCCTTGCAGCACTGGAGAGGATGGGTACCTCAGGTTTATCTCAGGCCGGTCTCCTCTGACTAGAGGAAGCACCCTGGCCAGACACAGAAAATGGTTCTTTTTTTTTTTTTTTTTTCTTTCTGGAACCCGGAAAACCCATGCAGCTGGGTCTGAGGCTTTCAGTAAGCACAGAGGCACATGATTGTAAGGCAAGCGAGGCTGGGACTAGGCAGCGATTGTTTATAATTCAATGCCTGTTTAATCAGAGGAAACGTGAGTCATGCTGAGACAGAATGGGTTTGTTAGATCTTGTATCACTGGCCAGGGCCAGGCAGGGTGTGCAGTGGTCACTGTACTTGGGGACATGATTTGGGATTGAGGTGGCGGTGGCTGGACTCCTGTCTGAGGGTCTGACTCCCTCTGAATATCCCTGGGCCCCAAAAGAAGAATTCTGCACGGTGGGAGATTTGTCTCGCTCCATGAAGGAGGCCAGTTGGGTTCTGTTTCTATGGCAGGCAGGGAGGGCTGAGCTGGGAGAAAATCTTGGTGATGATCCCGCAACTCTGGTATAGAGACCACCAATCTTTGAAAGGGCCAGGCCAGATGTGTCGCGTCCGCCTCACCAGCAAGGAAGAACGCAACGCTGGAATTCTTCTCACAAGCAGTTTTATCCAGGACCTTTTTCACAGTTCTCTCTTTTCCTTCTCTTCCCCGGGCAAGCCGTTCCCAGCCCTGATATAGCCAAGGGCTGCCAATCCAGGTTAACCACGTGGGCACTGCCCATGGGCCCACGCTAATACAAGCAGCTTACGATCATCGTACGATCATAGCGTGAGCAGGGTCGAAGCCAAAATAGGAGTTGTTTGTCTCCGAGAGCATCCGCTTTCGGGATCGTGGAAGCCGGATGCCAGCGCCATTTTCTAGGTGCGGCTCCTGTATGGCTCCATATGGCTCTCCACAAAGATGGACTAGTGAACTGGGCCAGGAAGGTTCCAGAAACCTCACACGTACCTGGTCCTGGGGTGCTGCCATTGTCCAGCATCAGCCTCAAGGGGAGGTATTTTGTTTGTTGTTTTGGTGGTGCTAGGGCTCAAACTCAGGACATCACAAAGGCGGGACAAATGCTTTACCAGTGAGATTCACGCCCAGTCTCCTTGGTGTTCTATACAGATTCCCTGAGTTTAGGATAATGCCCAAGGGAGTCATGGATTTCTCGCATTGGTGGCGAGAGGGATGCGAGACTTTATCCTAGGGCCAGCCCCGCAAGGCCAAGTGCTGATGTGGTCACAGAGAGGGTGTGGGTATGGCCACGTGCCACATATTGAGTGGCCTGCCTTTCTTTAGCTGGTTAGAGGTGAGTGGCGTGTTGCCATGGCAGAGGAGTGGCCCGGTAGCCTGGCACTGTCCTGGGGTGGTGATACTCCCTGTGGATGTTTTACAGCTCCTTTCCCTTGCCCCACAGTTGATGGTCTTTTTCGTCGCCGCCACGGTTCTCTATATTACCGCCTTTATCACTTGTGCCTCAGCGGTCGATCTGACGTCCCTGAAGGGCTCCCGGCCATATAACCAGCGCTCGGCTGCCTCTGTAAGTATGCTCCCGAGGCTGAGGCTCCAGCCTTCTGCAGGGGATCCACCAGCCCAGGCCTGTGTGCTCACAGGTGCCCGGATGCTCAGTGTCACTCTGTTTTCCTTAGGGACCTGGACACTTGGGATCATTGTGGACCTCTGCTGGGCCACACTCGTTTTGCTTTCACCGGTCACCTGGGGTGGCTGTTAGTCACTACATTCTGTCTGCAGTTTTGACTTGTATTCTCTTACAGAAAGTCTAGACTCGGGCTGTGTCAGATGGCCGTTCGCACTCCGCCCACAAGGCCCTGTACATCGCCCTAGAGTCGCAGCCCATGGGTTCTTTTTCCAACAAGGAAACTGGAGTTGTGGCCACATCCAGGGCAGGGCAGCCCTTGGCGTCTTCCCTCTTCCCGATTAAGAGAGGTTTTAAAAGTAGTGAACTCGCTGGGTGCTGGTGGCACACGCCTTTAATCCCAGCACTCGGGAGGCAGAAGCAGACAGATCTCTGTGAGTTCGAGGCCAGCCTGATTTACAAGAGCGAGTTCTAGGACAGGCTCCAAAGCTACAGAGAAACCCTGTCTCGAACCCCGCCCGCCCCCCCCCCCCAAATTAGTGAACTCACTCTTGGGAGCTGAGACCTAAGCTGCAGAAAACACAGGTCAGCATACAGAGTACGAACTGGTTCAGAAAACCCCTTTTGAGTATTGTTACTGTTTTGTTTTTGTGTTTTTTGTTTGTTTGGTTTTTTTTTTTTTTTGGTTTAGTTTGTTTTCAATTCTGGGCCTAGAACCACAGGGCCTTGTGAGGCTGGGCAAACACTCTACTTCTGAGCCCCAGCCCTGAATGTCCCCGCCCCCGACGGTTTCTCTAGCTTTGGTGCCTATCCTGGAACTAGCTCTTATAGACCAGGCTGGCCTCGAACTTACAGAGATCCACTTGCCCCAGTCCTGAATGTTACCTGTGGACCTTAAGTCCCTGTGAAGTGTGTGAAGTGTGTGAAGTTACCCCATGGTCACTCCTATTCACTGAGCAGTTAGACACTCTTGGTCGCCCCTGGTACCACCTGACATGTCTGGCCTAAGTGGTTCTGTTACCCCGACCCTTAGAACATAATGCCAGCTGTGTGGTGTGTGGCTGGGCATAAGGGGTGTGGCTGCCAGAACAAGTGGTTCTGATTGACTCAAGGGGCTGTTGCTGAAGCTTTTATCCCCAAGTCCATCTGAGGAGACCACCTGGTCTGCTGTCACTGTCCCCATATGGTTCCCTTGCTCTCTCTGACGGACCACCTTGGTCTCTCTTCTTCTTTCCTGCCAGTTTTTTGCTTGCCTGGTGATGATTGCCTATGGAGTGAGTGCTTTCTTCAGCTTCCAGGCCTGGCGAGGAGTGGGCAGCAATGCGGCTACGAGTCAGATGGCCGGGGGCTACTCTTAGACCAGCCGTGCTATGGCCTGAGCTGCGGCTGGGTCTTAGCACAGGGTCACCCCCAATCTTACTAGACTCAAGCTCTCCAGTACCCCCAAGGAACAGGCCCAAGCAGGCACAGAAGGGCTGCCAAGAACCAGCAGTGGGGACATCCTCCCCACCCTCCTTATTCAGCAGAAAGTGATGGGGGATGTAGGCTCTCATGGCTCCGCCTTGCCATCAGAGGACTTCAGTATCCCAGGCTGGGCCACCCTTCTCACCTAGCACTAAAGGCACTAACAGACCTTCAGCCTCCAACCTGCCACAGTATAAGCCTAACAAGCGACAGATTGTCTTTGTTGCGGGCGAAGCTAAGTGAGCCCACGGCTGTTCTGGTCCCAGCTTCTCCGCCCCTGCCTCCAGCCAACGTGCACCTGTAGAGGGACTTTCATAGGAAGAGTTGGGATTTCAGACTGGACTCTTTCAGTTGGTCTCGGGCAATTTCCAATGGTGGTGAGCCTTGCCCTGTCCTCCCTCTTTGGAAAAGCTAGCTGATGGTGCAGGGTGCTGCCCCAGGCTGTTGATTAGGCACAGGGGACTTCAAGGAGGGGGAGGAGGAAGCAGGGCCTTCCCTGGTGAGTTGTCACGGGGTTGGTGGAGACTCTTGTTTGGAATTACTATTTTTTACAATTTAAATAAAAATATAAGTATCTGTTTGGAAAGGTGTTATTCATGGTCTTAGCTGTTTATTAACATTTGACTTTTTGGTCCTTTAAGGAAAAAACGGCAACAATTAAGATATAATTAGAATCAAGTACTTGGGGCTTTGTTACTGTGTTACAAGGGGATCAGGTCTGGCTCTCAGTCCCAAGTCACACTTGTTGTCATGGTTACTCTACAGATTCACAGTGTCCACTTTACTCTCCAGCCTTAGGAGGTCTCCCTGTGCCAAGAGTAAGCCCTACGGAGAGCTTGGGTTGAAGGAGGAGCTGCCCATTTTGAGGCTGAGAGAAAAGTGAAATCCTAGCAAGTCAGAGAGCTCACTGTCCTATTAGGTATCTCATAGCCCAACACAGCCTCTGTAGGGGAGACATTCTAGGTTCTGCTGCTCAGAATGAACTTTCCTGTGAATGAATGAGGAAGAAGGCAGCCTCCCATGCTGGGCTAGAATGGGCCAGACTGTGAGCTTCCTTGCCCTCGGCCAGACCCAGTGTCATTCAAGGACGCATCTAGCATCTGCCCAAGTCTGTGGACCAAGACACAAAACCAGCAAACTTGCAGTCTGCCTGCCTTCTGGATCTTCCTTTTTTTTAAAAAAAAAAAAGATTTATTATTTTTATTTCATTTTATATGAGTGTTTGTCTACATGTATGTATGTGCACCATATGGGTGCCTGAGGAGGCCAGAAGAGGGCAGTGGATTACCTCAATGTGGACTTAGTGTGAGCTGCCATGTGAAACAAACCAGGGTCTTCTGTAAGAACAGCAAGTGCTCTTAACCACCGAGTCCCTTCAGTAATTTGTCTATATTTATTTGTTCAATTGCGTTTTTCAACCAGGCAGGTTGGCCAACAAACCTTAGCAAGTGCTTTCAGCATGCTGCCTGCGGTGAGCACTTCTGCTCCCAAAAGGAACAGGAAGGGAAAGCTAGCCTGAGACATGGTGACATTTACAGAGCTGGCCCCACAAGGGCCTTTGATGTCAGAAGACCAAAGCAACAATAACCGGATGACAGTAGTTACATTAAAGTGGACAATGCTCCACTTTTTTTTAATGCCCTTGCCAAACACCTCAAATTTTACTCATTTTACAAAAGCACTAAGAGACACATTGCTACAGAAAAAACACAGCGCTTAGTTTATATCCTGTAAAGTCAGAACGGTCACATGGAAAGTCAGTGTGGATTCTTATTTTTACTATAAAAGTTAAAGCCAAAAGCATACATTAGGAATCAAACTGTTCTCTTCTTTCTAGAGATGTGACACACATGTTTTCTGGTTGGTGACAGTAAACCGAAGATGACAGGTGACCACAAAAACTGTCTACTGCACTGCACCTCCCCCCAGGCTGAGCTGGATCAGGGGAGCATTAACTTGGCAGGAGAGATTGTTGGGAACAAACTGCAGAGTCCCTACTCTCCCAACAGAAAACCAGCTCATTGGCATACACAATGGACTGCAGATAAGCATGCATGCGCAAACACAACTAGCACACTGTCGTGAGGGGACTGCAGACAAGCATGCGCAAGCACACTTAGACACTGTCGTGACAGGACTGCAGACAAGCATGCACGCGCAAGCACACTTAGCACACTGTTGTGACAGGACTGCAGACAAGCATGCGCAAGCACTTAGCACACTGTTGTGACGGGACTGCAGACAAGCATGCACGGGCACACCTAGCATGCTGTCCTGACAGCAGCAGCCTATTTCTAGCATACAGCCTGCTTGCAATGGTGCCCAAGAGGGGCACTAATTGGAAAGCAGATTTGCACTCACAACTAAAAAGCACACAGCATATAATACTTTGATCTTTTAAGTGGTTGATCTTGGGCATTCCAAGATCATACTCACTAGGTTAGCCTGAGTTTTCATCTATAAAAATATGTTTCTTGAAAATAATGCTTAGAGACTTAAGAGAAACAGTGGGACTACAGCAAGACCAGCAGCGTTTGCTGCTCAAAGATTGCTAATGTAAGGTGGGGAGTTCCTTTTCACTTGTGGGAATCAATTTCAGTTGATTCCCACAGCCACTCAAGCTGTAATTACAGGAGATCCAGAAGTCCAGACAGGCGCAGGCAGCCCCAGTAACTCCCTAGATAAACACTCCGAAACGAAAACCCCACTGATGATGAGGACAGAATGACCCATGTGAAAACAGTTGTGGGTGCACAAGGACACGTGTAAAGCCTGCTGGGATGAAGGGCTCACGATGGTGTGTTGTCCACACTGCTGACACACTACACTACCACATTGCTGGTGAAGGGCCCCCAGGTGAGGTGGCCAACATGGGCCTGTTCCAGGGATCACCCAGAAGCACCTGGGAGTGGCCTGCATTGGGACAGGAGGATGAACATGAAGGTTACTGACTATAAGTTGTTTCTGGACAATGGCCAGGAGGGTCAGTCATGTTTCCCAGGACTCATCAATACTTCATAGGAATGAAGGGCTGTGGCACAGTTGGTCTTTCCATTTCTGAGCTGGCTGGGCTGGTGACCTCACAGTGGTCACACCCACGTCTGGAGGTGGAACCTAGTGCCGCAGGCTGTTCTGGGAAGCTGCTGTAGAAGACGATTTGCACAGAGAAGTCACGACCAAGCCACTGCTTAAGTCCAGTCCTCGGCCTTCCTTTTCCTGCAGGCAGAAGCAGAGAACTTCAAGATGCCAGCAATGGGAAGAGCTTTCCTAACCCAGGAGTCACCAGGGGTGGGGAGTAGTGGGGACAGCAGGTTAGGCATGTGAGCTCCCAAGGATACACAGGGAGAGACAAGGCAACAGGCTGTTTCCAGTTTTTCTCAATTATGGCCTTATATGGGGGAAAAAAGAGACTTTCTTGGGGCTGGAGAAATGGCTTGGTGGTTAAAAGCACTGGCTGCTCTTCCAGAGGACCTGGATTTGATTCCCACCATCTTAGCACATAACTGTCTATAACTCCAGTCCCGGGGGATCCTACCCCATCTTCTGATTTCCATGGGCACCAGCTATACATGTGGTACGCCGACATACATGCAGGCAGACATTTATATACATAAAAAAATAATAAAGTTTAAAAATCATTGACTAGCTGGGTAGTGGTGGTGCACACCTTTAATCCCAGCACTTGGTAGAGGGAGGTGGATCTCTGTGAGTTCAAGGTCAGCCTGGTCTACAGAGTGAGTTCCAGGACAACCAGGAATACACAGAGAAACCATGTTTTCAAAAAGAAACAAAAGGCTCTAAGTGGGAATTGGTATAGTGCCATGCCTTTAATTTAATTCTAGTACTCAGGAGACTGAGGCAATAGGATCTCTGAGTTTGCCCAACTTAGTCTACATAGCAAATTCCAGGCTAGACAGCAAGACTCTGTCTTAGTACACACATAAACAAGTATGGCAGCTGCTCATTGCTTGAAACTGTTTTCATCTTATTTAAAGGAGTCTGTACAGTAAAGTGACAGAATGAGATTTACTCTTTGTTGGGAACACTGATATCGTTTCATCAAGACATAGAAAGGTCCTGGCTGGCATGGAGCAGCAACTTCTATTTATTCCTCAAAAGCTAATGAACAAACTAATACTAGTTTTAAGCAGGGGACAAAGGATAGAAGGTACAGGGCAGGTTGTCTCTGCAGCTCTACCTCTTGATTTCCGCAAGGCTCGCTGAGGCTAAGTAGGGGAGCACTCATAACTTACTGCTCTGTAGTACAGGAACATCTCCTTGAAAGCCAGAAAGTCCGTGAATGTAAGCAGCATGTCAAAGATGTCACCAGCCACTTCATCCTTATGGTGTCTGAAAAGGACAGAGTGTTGGCTTTGTGAATCAACAGGAAGACAGATTTCTTTCAAGGTACACAAGTCAGGCACAGTGGGGCATGCCTGTCAGCACCTGGGTGGAGGCAGAAGGATGAGGCTTGTAACCAGCCTTGGCTCAAAGCAAATAAACAAAAACCCTAGATAGACAGACAGATAGATAGATAGATGGACAGACAATAGATAGATAGAAAGATAGAAAGTTAGAAAGAAAGAAAGAAAGATAGATAGATAGATAGATAGATGGGGCAGGAGAGATGGCTCAGTGGTTAATAGCACTTGCTGCTCTTGCAGAGGACCCAGGATTGTTCCCGGGATACATGTGGTCACTCACAATTGCCTGAATTTCCAGCTCTAGAGGATCTAAAGCCCTCTTCTGGCCTCTGTATGCTCCTGCACACACATGGTGCACATAAGCTCATGCAGGCTCACACACATACACATAATTTTAAAAATGAATAAATAAATATCTTTAAAAAATGCCTTGCAAAGGCATAGAGGGCCTCTCACTCAGGGCCCAGCCACACAGAGGTCTCAGTGAAGAAAAGGAGAGTGGGTTTTCTTCAGTCTTGGGAGGAAGAGGGGGAGCACAGAACCAGAGACAAGCTCAACTCACTGCAGTGTGGTTGTGAAAGCCGCCATGTTGAAGCCTGGGATACGCTCCAGCAGCTGCTCTTCAATGTACTTCTCTACCAGGGAAATCTGCAACGATGGAAACAGCAATTTGTGGGCCCTCTGGGAAGATGGGAAACTTTGCAGAGCCTAGATCTGTCCTTGGCAGTCATCACTTGTGATCATGTGTGCATGTGAGTGTGTGTGCTATGTGTGTGGTATGACTGCATATATGACATCAGTGCAAATGGCTGCAGAAGCCAGAGGAAGGTGTCAGATCTTCTAGAACTAGAGTTATAGGTAGTTGTTAGTTGTCAGTCACTGGATGAGCTGTTGGAATCAATCTGCAGTCCCCTGGAAGCCATCTGTCCAGCCCCGTGTTTAATTTCATTTAACTTATCATTATTGGGTGTATGTGTGAGGGGGCATGCATGTGCTACAGTGTGCATGTGGACATCAAAGGACAACTTCCAGAGAATCAGTTCTCTCCCTCCACCTCTTGCTGGCTTATATTTCACAGCACACAAATGCAAAATATCACAACTGAAGACAAGATTATGTTGATGGCAAATTTGTTTTAATCAAGAAGTTGCAAGCTCATCAAATACTTCATGAATGCCTTTTAGAAAATAGCTCCAAGATCTGGCAAAAGGAAATGATCTAAACCGGACTATAATCAGCATTGCTCTCGGCAGTGCTGGCAGATATAAAAAGTAAACCAATCCCAACTTTTTTTTTTTTTTGCTTTTAAAGAAATAATCTTGCTAAACAATCTAAGCTGACTTAAAATTCACTAGGTAGCCCAGGCAGGCTTATAGCTTGCAGCCATCCTCCTGTCCCAGCCTCCTTAGTGCTGATTTACATGTTCCACCAAGCTTTGTAATACCTTTTGATACTAATTCAAGCTTCTTGAAGATATATATTAATTATACATAAAAGATCTAAGTTCAAATTTTAAAGAAACCCTACCTAATCTTCTGGTAAGAGAGACAGATCTACTTACATATTCATTAAAAATAGGGGTATAGGTGAGTTTATTCTCTTCTGTATCTTCAAACTCCTGGTAGTACTTGTCCATGAAGTTCCTCTGCAGTAACTGGAACTCGTCATCTGACACAGGGAAGTTCATTCTTTGTAACGCGGTGCAAGGCTACAGGGCCACTTTTCCAGCAGCCGCACTGCAGCTCACAACCAAACTCAGGTCCCAAGAGGTCCGATGCCCTTGTCTGCCCTCCACAGGCATCAGACACACACATTCATTCAAGCAAAACACTCAGAAATAATAAAATAATAAAATAAATAAATACAAAATCTAATTTAAAAAATTAATTTAATAAGATATACCTAAAATTTAAAACTTCAACCTTTTCAAAATATGCAGTTTGCTGGCTTGTAAGTGTGCTCACATTGCTTTTCAATATTTTAATTTTTAGCTTTCTAAGATAAGGTCTCCACAGATATATATTCTTGGCTGGCCTGAAATTCACTATGTAGACAGGCTGGTCTTGAACTTGTAGCCATCTTCCTGACTCTGAGTGCTGGGGTCACATATCAAGAAAATTATCCACAATCAAAGCTGGGCAGTATTGGCACACACCTTTAATCCAGTACTTGGGTGGCAGAGGCAGGCAGATCTCTGAGTTCTAAGCCAGTGTAGTCTACAGAGCGAGTTCCAGAGTAGCCATGACTACACAAACCCTGTCTGGAGAAACCAAAACCAAAACCAAACCAAAACAAAAAACCGTGCTGGAGAGATGGCTCAGTAGTTAAGAGTGTCTCTTAACCTCTTAACCTCTTCCAGAGGTCCTGAGTTCAATTCCCAGCAACCACATGGTGGCTTATAACCATCTATAATGGGATCCAATGCCCTCCTCTTCTGAGCAGAGGACTATGCAGACAGAACACTCATATACATAAATAAAAATAAATATTTTTAAAAAATAACAAAACAGGTATATGCCCTAATATAGCCAAACAGAATAACTTGTGAATGTCCCTCACACTAAATACCAAGAACTACCTGGTGACTCTCTTTCACACATAAATTTATTGTGTACACAAAAGGTCAGCTCTCAAATTGGGAGACTTTAATAGCAAGAAGCTCTATCCCTCCTAATTAATTTTTTACTATTAAATAACGTTTTATTTATTTATTTTTATGTGTGCATGTGCACAGGCTTGCCATGGTGCAAGGGAGGAGGTCAGAGAAAAACCTGCAGGAGAAGGCTCTTCCCTTCTACTGTCCACCACCAATCTCGGGAATCGAACTCAGGTCGTCAGGCTTGGCAGCAAGAGCTTTACCTACGGAGCCATCTCATTGGCCCTCATTTTTTAATTTTTTTTTTAACCTACATATTTATTTTGAGACTGGGTCTCACTTAGTAGCTCTCGCTGAGTAGCCCTGACTGGCCTGGAACTCACAGCAATCCACCTGCCTCTGCCTCCTGAGTACTGGGATAGATGGCACGTGTCATGGCACCCACCTAGAGATTGGGTGTTGATTCTCCTTCTACTGTGTGTGTCTCACAGACTGAACCTGGACTGTAGGCTTGAAAGCCATCTTGCTGACCCCCCCCTCCTATTTTACTATCATTTTAGAAGCAGTAGTGAAAACAGTGGGTTAAAAGACGGGGTCTGCAAGAGGCCACTGCTTGGGTTCAGACCCTACCTCAGCCCTGTACTCTGTGTAATCTTGGACAAGTGGCCTTGTTTTTGCAGACCCTAATCTCCTCAACTGTCTGTCACAGGGGCTCGCTGGGTGGAATTCAGGAGAGTCCAGATACAGATTCACAGCAAACACTTGAGGTCAGGTGTAGCGATTCTGAACTGACTAGTCTTTCTGTAACAGGGAAACCTTCAAAAGTGACCCAGACCTAAAGAAGCCCATTTCTCCACAATAGGAGGATATCCATGGTGGGCAAAACAACTCAAAACTCCTCAGGAGAGAGCTTCTGCTGAGATGCAGGATGTGAAGGTTCAAAAGTGTTGTCACTGGTTTTCCAGATTAATCTGGGTTAAGATACACACCAAAATTTAGACAGCAGGGTTTTTCTCAATTGTGGGAAAAATTGATAAACTATCAAAACTTTGTCCAACTTAAGTTTCTTCCTAGTTTTCTTCAATTTTGGATTTATCACTGCCTTCTGGCTACTTAGTAGAATACACAGATGCCTAAAGGGATCTAGAAATAGGAACCAAGAATGCAAAGAAATAGGAGGGTACATTGGCTCCTGCCTGCAATCCTAGCACCAGGGAGGCTGAGGCAGGAAGAGGGAAGAGCAAGGCTGGCCTGTACATGAGACCCTAAAATCAACGCTCTCAACACAGAACCAACCGAAAAAAACATATAAAGAAAATAGAGGGATCCAAGCCATCCGTAATGGTTCATACCTTTAATCCCAGGTAGACAGATCTCTGAGTTGAAGGCTAGCTCAGTCTACAGAGTTAGTTCAAGAACAGCCAGGGTTACACAGAAACCCTCTCTCAAAAACAATAACAATGAAAACTAAACAGTAGCAAAAAAAAAAAAAAAAAAAAAAAAAAGCGATCCAAGGAGATTTGACACCTTGTTTTTGCATGGTCAAGTGCTGCATAGGGTTATGAGTTCTGTTCTGTTCTGCATGGAAATGCTAAAAGCTCAGAATGATTCAAAATTGCTCGTACTGTATATGTAAGACAAAGTCGGCCAATATTACCTCAAGTCTTGCCAAGAGCTCTGTCCTACCCACCAGGTGACTGATTTTCTGAATTTGTCTCCTCTGAGACATTGAATCAATCAATGGTCGTTACGGAAGAAAGCACTGGATCTTACCGAAAAATCCAGGACCTGAGCTCCCCCAACCTCTTGCCTCTGCTTGCCTGTGCTGAGATTATAGAGGTGTGCCACATACCAGGTTTCGGGTTTCTTATTTTTTAACTAAATTCTTGTTTGTTTGTGCATGGGCACGTGCCTGTTACAGCCTGTGTATGGATGTCGGAAGATAGCCTTTGGGAGCCAGTTCTGTTTTGTGGATCCCGGGGATTAAACTAGCATTGTCAGGCCTGCTGGTGAGTGCCTCTACCCACTGAGCCATCTTGCTGACCATACTTGTTTATAAGACAATTCTTTTTTTTTTTTTTTGATAAGGAAAAGATATTTATTTAGCTCACAGGTCTAGAGGCTGAAAGTCCCCACAGCATGCCACCAGCTCTGGCACATCACCTCCTGGTTGATGACACCACAGAGTTCACACAGCAAGGCAGGAAGCCTGAGAGCTGGAAGGGGCTGGTCTTACTCTTCCATAACAACCTTCTATGGAGAACTGACCAAGGTCCCATGAGATCTAGGCCATGGCTGCAAGCTTGTCCACCCACCTCCCACCAGGCCCCACCTCTTAGTGCTCCCATCACCTACCACACTGGGTACCAACCTCCAGCACACAAGGCTTGGGGGCCATATCCACACCTCCACAACAGATGGTGGATCATCCACCTCCTCCCCTCCTCAGTCCAGCTAAACTCACTAGGCCCTGCAGGGGGATGCAGAGACCCCAGCTCCCAGCCTGCTAAATACACACCGTTGACTGAGGCCCATGTAAGACAACAAATCTTAGTATGGCTAGCTTACTATTGCTGTGTTAAAATTTCGGTGTACCTGGACGTTCTCTGTGTTTTAAAAATTAACTCCTCAAATGTATTTCTTTGCATGCTCTGACAAGCAAAGGTTTGGGCTGTTGAGGTGGCTCAGGGGCTAAGGGCACTGCTATACAGGCCTGGTGACCCGACTTCAACCCTCAGAACCCACATCAAGGTGGAAGGAGAGAATCAACTCTACAAAGTTGTCCTCTGACCTTGTTGTCCACTTGTGCACAGTGGCCTAGGAAACCCCCCTGCCCTCAATCACCATAAATAAATACATTTTAAAAATTGTTCTAAAGCAAGGGACTATCTACATAAGAATTAAGGGACTAGAGGGATCGCTTAGTGGTGTAGAAACTTACCCATAATAATGTCTTCCAAACACCCAACTACAGCATCAAATTCTGCATCAGAGGCGGAGGAGCTGAAAAACACATTAGAAATAAGTGCCGGACCAAATAATTATTTTTGAAGTTGAATTTATGTTTTCTGTGGGGATGGGGATTGAACCCAAGGCTTTGAGCATATGAGGCAATCACAACAACAAAGCCCGACACATTTTTTAAATGTAAAATTTCCAACGTGCCTAAAAAGAATCACAAGATGAACCTCATGTAACTCAATTTCAGCGGTCAAGTCTAGTCTAGAAATCCCAAATACAGGAAAGTATCCATGACCAAACCCTAGGTAAGGCGATCGATCACAAAAGCAGCAAACACGGATATGGGGAGCAGAGCTGGCGTGGCACATCCTCTGACTTCCGCATGGGAATCGCGGGATCTACTCACCGCATACTGGCTCTTAACGCCAGACAGGTGTATCTGCTGGTGAGTGTGACCACCGGAGGAGCACGGGCCCAGAGGGTAACTGGATCAGGAGTGGCCTGAGATGGGCGGTGAGGCCGCCGCCAGCCCTGGGCAGCTCAAGCCCTCTAGGTTTTACTGACGGCCAAGATTCAGGCCAGAGGATTGTGATGGAAGCGCTGGTAATCGGTGACACAGCCCCGCGGAGGCCGCGGGTGGGGAAACGCCCCGCTGGAGCGGAGCCCCGGCCCCGGCCCCGGCCC